CTACTACTACTACTACTACTGCTCCGGCCGGGATGCCAGCTCCGACTGCGACTGACTGCGGCAACGACGACGACGACGACTACTTCTGCTGCTACTACTGATACTACTATTCTCTGGACCAGCCACAGCTGCTGCTCCTAGTCCTAGCGTTACACTGCCCATGCTTGCGGTGATTGCATTCCTTATTCTAGTATTCTGCCACCAAAAACTCAATAGCACCAGCGATGGTACTTGTCGACATGGTGATAGCGATGCTGCTACATCTGATGACAGTGCTGCTGCCGGTGATCATGTTGTTGCGGGCACTGCTATCGATGATGGTCACGGAGGCTTGGGTCTCGTCAGGAGAACCCAATGTGAGGCTCGCCCTAACCTGAGGGTCCGCGCTGCGCTTCAGGGACTCAAGGCGAGTGGTGAGCTGCTAGCAGCTTTTCTTTTCTAAGTGTCCGTGTTCTTTCTTGCTGATGGCTCCTGTGCGTTGCCCAGGCAGCCTCCGAAAAGGGGCGCTACCTCGTGGTGGAGTCCCTGCTGCAGCACAAGGTGATTGAAATGGAGTTTCAGCGGATGTAGGCATAGAGTCTAGACTGGTTCATATCTTTCAAACTGAGAAACCTGCGGTTCCTGTGCGTTGAAATCTTCGCTTTTGCAAGGACATCTAGAGTCTGCATCAGCACAGCTCGCCGAACCAACCCGTAGAAAATCTCGCATCTCCCGTGCTGTCAATGTCAGGCATGGCGCGCGTTTCTGGGAGTGACCAATGGGGCGCGAACGAAGACGAAGTCCCTCTAGACAGGAACCTGCCTTTCGACTCATGCCATGCCACTCCCTGTCTGCCTACCAGCCCCAGAAGTTAAATTTCTGCACCCAAAACAGCCCAGTCAATCAATTCTGAGGAGCACACGCCGAAAGGGAGTGTAATGGGGATGCTCATCTTCGGGGTCCAAGTGCTGAATCACGAAGCCTCAAACCAAAGGCCCTCGCCATCTCTGGTCCTGGCAGGCCGACCCCTTGGTTGCGGACGACAAGGGTGCCTCGATATGTCAGCGCAAGAGCCGTAGAAGGGTTGAGGGTTTGCGCGACGACGAGGACGACGAGCGCGGAGAAGACCACGACGACTAATTGCACGCCACTACTTGCCCAGGTAATTGGTAATAGGTGCAAGAGATATTATGTGCATTTTCATTTCCGTTCAGTTTGCGAAAGAGCGGTGTCGCTAGCAGTGGCAGTGCTCCAGCAGCAGTAGCAGCTAGCCGTAGCAGTAGGAGCAGCAGCAGTAGCATTAACAGAGGCTGTAGCCGCCAGCAGTAACAGTAGTGGTAGAGTAGCAGTAGGTGCGGGAGCAGGAGCAGTAGCGAAGTAGTAGGAGAATGACCGTGGACGAAAACTTGCGCCAGCCACATGAAGAAATGCCACAGGCAACATCCCACTCCACAAAGCAGCGCAAAGCGGGAGCCTTCTCTCGGCCTTGCTGCTTCTGGACCGCATTCAGGCCGGTCTAGCGTTGCATCTCGGTTTTGCCACCACCTTGGTGCCAGCTTCGGAAGACCACTAGCACGACCTTTTTGGGACATGCAAAACATCTCTGATGCAGTCCAATGACCGCTCGGCTAACATCGCGAGCATGGTGAATGGTGACGGGGAGACACCCGAGATTCTGGCAGCCGCTTGGATTGGACCTCACGAAGCCGGCTGTATGATGTGATCCGAGAACAGCTAACACGCAGACAGGCCCTGTTTCTACGAATCAAACTCTTGGGTCGATGTTCGCATTTTAATGACTGAAGCCATCGATTTGTTTGGTTTCGTTACGTCCTTGTAGATAGTCATGTCCGCCCTAGATATCTTGTGGTTTGCATTGGAACGGTGCACACATTGTAATTGCCTCGATCCCAATGTTGCAAAGCAGCGGGGCAGTGAGGGCAAACAGGCAAGCTGGCTCTGTACTTACAAGTCGTTAGTGTGCGGGGCTCGATCTCAAAATCTCGTCGGCGCCCGTTGCAAAGCTCAGCCATGGGATGGGGATGCAAGTATCGGAGGCAACCACTAGCTGCTTCCCGTATGTATTTATGCTTTAGGCCTACTTGTAACTCCTAGCGAACTTCCAAGCAGTCTTAGCATTAGCGGAATGTAACTTCTCACGAGGCAGAGGTCGGCGCAGCAGACGTCTGCCGTGCCTTCGAGGCAGGATCAGGGAATCAGAGGTTTGAGGCTCTGTTCAGGGTTGAGGGAGTTGCAGTTTCGCTTGTCTGCAAGAGCATCGCCATCGTTACGTTAGTGCTCGTGCTAATCCACAGCAGTCATGACCTGTCAGCAGAAGGCACGTCAGGAACTGCAACAGCCTTGCACACGAATGCCGTGAGCCTTCGTGAATCGAAGCCTTGTGCGCAAGCCTCCGCCTTCGACCAGTCTTCGGGTCGTGACCCTGGCTCCCAAAAGAATTCTTCAGGTCTTTCAGACCATGCAGAGAGATGCGGCGTCTTGGCAGCTCGGTGTCTTGGCAAGAGATTCTTCGGTGAAGGGAGAGATGTCATTGGGGTTGGGCATCCAGTCTTTCACCGAAGATGCTTACAGGATCAGGAGACCTGGTGATTGTAAGTCGATCCTTCAAGCAAGGAGGAGCCTCTTGTCGGTCACGCAGTGTAGTCCCAATGCGGGCTCGCGGGTTTTGAAAGCTTGGGGAGGTTTATCCGTTTATCCAGAATCTAAAGTTTCATGGTGTTGTTGCAAGGCTCAGGCAAGATTAGGATCGGATTTTTGTGTGGATGGATGGTTTGGCAGCAAGGGCTGCGTGTTACTGGCTGTTGCGAGAGAGGTGGCTGAAGGAGCCTAGTTTGGAGGTTGGCAGAGGGCTGGTGCGGGGGGCTATTCACAAGTCTTCTTCCGGATGTGTAGCCAAGTAGAAACCTGGTAGGCAGATGTCGCGTTCGAGGTAGTAGAATCGTGCGATTACCCTACTTGTTCATCCATGAGTATGCCTGAGATTATGAACCGGCTGTTGTAAACTAAGTTGATGATGGTTTGTGAAAAATAGGTTCCTGTGAAATCCAAATTGGTTCAGACTAGCCTCAATTGATAATACCCGGCCTTGGCAGTCGGGCACGAAGATGTAAGGCACAAGGCTCCAGGGCATACATACAGCACGCGCAGATGAACAAGCAGGTACATAGCAGGTGGACCAGCATGATTGATTTGCGATCCAATAAACAAGTTCAACACCTCTTCTTCGGATCGTGCCCTGGAATCGCCAGGTTCGGCATCCCCATTGTCGGATCACCAAGGCCGCTATGTCGATGCGTTTCGGAATGCCAGCCTCCTGCATAGATATCTTCAATTTAGTTCAAGTAGGCAGCTCAAAGGCGCAATCTCTGGGAGTCACTGCTCTGTCAGGACACGGAATAGCCACCGGTCGCGGGCTGAGCCATTGCACACGTAGGTCAGACGGTACACCCCACTGAGTCTACAGCTTCGAGCGATTGAGGCGTTATGGGCCCGTTTCGTGGTAGAACATTTAATGCATGCAACGATGCCCCGAAGTACCAATTTCACCCTTCAAAGGGCCGAACTTCGAAGACTCCAGGTGACATGCTCTCTTTGATTGACCTGGCTGTTGAAGTGCCGTCTGCCGCAGCGGTGTGGCCCTAAGGGAAAGATGCTCTAAGCCGAAGTCTGGGGTACACGAAGCGTCGTGGCGAAAAGCATGGCCTGAGATTCCATGACTTGACATGTATTGTTTTCTATCGCATATGTGGGCGCACTGTAGTGGTAAAGACTTCGCCGAAGGGAGTTGTACAACCAGTATGGGCAGAACTCCAAGAGGCAGTTCAAAGATCGGGGGTCAGAGTTTCGGACCGGGGCCACCAGCTTGCGTGGCTTAAGGGGCTGCAGGTCATCGTTCTTAAATCTTGACGATCGAGATCGTCAAGATCAAGGGTGCCATGTGTCAATCTGCCTGTTGCCACTCGCATGATGGACGTTGAACAGACCTACGCTCAAATCTTCGGATGTAAAGCTTTCATGACTGGCCCACGGCCTGCATGTCCGGGTCATCACGACTGCACAAGAGACATTTAGCGTCAACCCAGGCAGGAGAACTTCAGCCCAAACTTTTGACGCCTTCCCAATATGAGCCCCAGAGCCGAGGGCAGAGCTTGAAGAGTTTTCGATTCCGATCTATTCTTCTCCCGCCGTCGGATCCAGGCCACTGCTGGAGCGCTTCTCCGGCGGTCCAGTGTGGGCGGGCAACCTAGATCTATAGCTGAATTTTTTAGGCGCGGGTTTGTGGATTTGGGCGAGACTGGGCGCTGCTGGGCTCATCTTTTGTGGATCGACCCTGCGGCAGCATAAGCAGGCTACGGCCTGCTCCTACTTTCAATTGCAAAACTGCGAAACTCGCGTCTCGCCGTATTGCTTAGTCCCAGAGTTGGTAGCAGGCAGGGGAGCAGTCCAAGCATCGTGGCTTCTGCATTAGGTTTCGACATGTAGCTCCTGTAGTTAATTGCCGAGGTCATATGTCTATGTCACTGTGTCACCTCCGTGCATCCAACTGCTGCAGAGGCACGCCTCTGGTTCCGAACATCTTCCAGCGAGTGCCTGAAGAGCAGGCTCGAAGTGCTACCAGTAGGGTTCTTCAAGCCACCAAAGCTTGGACTCCTGGCGAAATGGTGTCATTCAGCTAGGGCTCGTTCTGCCTCCGTTCAGAGCTTCCTGAGGCAGAGCTTTCGGAGATGGTGAGCAGGCCGGCATCATTGAAGGGGGCTACGAACCACTGGAGAATTATTTTCAACGCCTCGCGTCGTCCGCCTCGGCCCGGCAGTACTTGAAGCAGGTGCAGTGTTTTGGAAAGCAGCGGGTAAGTCACACAGGTGAGGTGTTGAGTGATTGAGCGCATTTGCTTCAGAACGCTTTCTAATGTCAACATGTGTGTTCCATGCTGAGGCTCTGAGCAATAATCCCATACGAAACGGTTTAGGGTTTAGGGTTTAGGGTTTAGGGTTTAGGTTTAGGTTTAGGGTTTAGGGTTTAGGGGTATTCCTTGTATTATCCCATAGACGTCACGATACTATTCGTATCACACCTCTCACTGGTCTCGTATACACCTCCCAGATGTTGGAAGGGGAATCGAGCTTTGTAACGAAGTAATATAGGGGCCTAAATAATTGCCTATATTATTGTGAGGGTTCCTTATTATAAACATAGTATAAAGGGCCCCCAAACCCTTTTTAAGGACCCTACATTACAAAACGCAGCCCCAATATTCTCAGAATGAAGTAAGCTAGCCTGTCTTGTCTCGCCGCAAACCAGAGACGAGGGAAGCGGGACAGCGGGGGGGGGCGCGGGTATAGGGGGTTAGAAAAAACGCTCAAATTTGGCGGGATGCCGGGCCGGCAAGCCCACTCTCCGCCAGCAAAATCTCCGAAATCCAATTTGTCAGGAGGTTGGTTAGTGGCAGAGGTGGGGAAACAGGGAATCTCTGTGAGAACCTCTGACCGCTTCGGCCGGGGCGGAGGCGAATTAATCCGGTGCTTTGCGGGCCTAGTGCTGCTGACGCCCTGTACCCCAAAACTCTTCTCAATAAGCTGACAGTTTTATCTCAAAGCCAGAGACCCTCACCCGAAAACAGCTAAGACTCAAAACGTCCCAGCCCGCAGGGTCTGCAAGGGAATCGAGACTGCCGAGTCCCAGCTGCTGCACCCCCGTTGCAGCCTAAGAATCGTGGACATCTGACTTCTGAACCCTAAACCCTAAACCCTAAACCCTAAACCCTATATTGTATGGGTGGCTTTCTTCAATTTCTGTGCTTCAACAGAGCGCTACACCGGCGAGGCTACCGGGCCCCTTGCGCACTCTACTCACTCTACACCAGACTCCGAACACCAACGCCGAAACGGTTAAACCGTAAAGCAAGGAACACTTTAAACTCCCCTTCGATTCGATGTATTTTGAACGGCCCCAATCCAATCCCTGCAGAGCCTTTGTGAGCCTGAAAGCCTTTTACAAGAGACCTTCCTGAAGTCTAAAAAGCTCGAGGAGCGGCCTGGGATTCTACGGATCCGGGACTGGACCCGGGCCTTCGAAGGCGTGGCCCTTCACTTCAAGATTCAGGGGTCTAGAGAACCTATAGAACCTAGACTTAGACTTTTTTTTTTTTTTGGTGTTTGTTTGGGTCTAAGGTCGTTGGCGTCGGGGATTGCTAACGTCTTAGGATGTATGATGCAGTAGAGGGTTTCTCTTTCAGGTTTCGGCTTTTGCGTTTGGGGGAATGTTGGGTTTGGAGGGCTTGTGGCCTTCTCTCTCCATATCTTCATCGTTCTCATGTCTAACGAAGTACTCACCACAACCAAATCGTTCTTGACTTTGGTGCGCGACTTTCCAAAGCGGTGTTTCCAAGCCGAAATCGCTCGTTTTCGTTCGGAGAGACTTTCGCAAACCATAGCGACAAAACTGAGTCCACTTTAGCTGGATCGCATGGGGAAAGCCAACAGCAACAATGGGTCAGGCACGTGCCCGAGTGCATGTCTCAATTGCCTTCCAAAACCCCCTCATTTCTATGATCGAAGCGAGTGAAAGCGTGCGCTGGATTCAAGTTAGCAGCTCTATGCAGTTTCGTGGCGACAGCAAGCTTGCGGAGCCAGTGGCAGAAGATCCGCCAGGAGGCCACGCAGTGTGATGCAGCCAGCTGACATGCCACAAGCGGTGCCTGCATGCCATTCAGCGCCTTCCACTCACGGCTCAGCAGGCTTTGGCTGCTGTGCCAGGCGAGAAGCTGTGCCTGCCAGGGTTCGTTGTGCATGAGGCGTTTTAAAGAAAGGCCCAGCAGGCCATAAACTTCGGCAATTGAGTTCGATGTGAAGGTTTGAGTGTGCTGCTGGATTTATCCTCGTGCATGTGCGCTCGCCGCTCGCCTGTGCGTTCGCAAGCATTGACGTTTTTTTGTAGAGATTACATGCCGCTGTAGCTCAAGCCAGCAGGTGTTGAACGAGCAACACACTTCTGACAACTGTTCTGGCCTGCTTAAACCTTGAGTCGTAAGTGCCAGTTAAGGGAAGTCCAACAGCAGAGGGGCATGTACAGCAACGGCTGAATACCGCTGATGACCGCCAGAGACAAGAGCAATGGCAGCCGAGTTACAACGTGGATCCATCAAGCCCACGACTGGCATAGATCCAGCATCATGCCCAATTCATGTTTGAGAGTTCCAGCTTTTCGGTCTGCTGGTGCCTTTGAAGTCGGTCGGCGGTGAGTTGTATGTTTGCAAAGTTCGTTTTCTTGTGATGAAGGCCAAGCCGTCGCACCTTGTGAGTACAGTTCTGAAAGAGCATGTGGACGGGGCTTCTGAACCGAAGACTTTGCTTTCGTTCTTCCACCTTCATTACACTAGAGTCACTAGAGCCACTAGCGGAGTGTTGAAACCAAGGACTGGGTTGCACAATTCCCGCTTTCAACGAAAGGCAGGTCCATCGTTAATCAGCAGGGAGAGCGCTTCCGACTGCGAAGCATCAACTGGTATGGTGCGAGTTTCTTGGTTGCCTTTTTCCAGTGCCGGTCGCTCTCATCGTTGGCCAGTTCAGGGCCTCCGTAGTAATAAGCTCCTTATCTCCGTCTCAGGTGACCAAAATCATGTCGTTGGAGGACTGAACGTGCAGAGCCTGGAAACCATTTGTGGAACGGTGCAGTCCTTGGGCTTCACCGCCGTTCGCCTGCCTTTCTCCAACGAGATGTTGAGAAGCAGCGTCACCAGCGGTTGCATCGACTTCGGCAAGAATCCAAAGCTCAAAGGGCTCACTGCTCTTGAGGTTCTGGACGAAGTGGTGCATTGCTGCTGGACTTGAATAGCAACAGTTTTTCCGTGAATACATCCGCCTTGTTTCCTTCTGATCATCTAGGGGACCAAGGGTGTTAACCTAGCTGAACTGCGAAGGCTTGGCTCGACACCGGGTGGTCTCCATCCTGCATCTCGCTGTGAAGCTACCATGTGCGACAGGTAGCCTATGTTGTTCTCGTACTATGCTTGTATACTGTTTTGCATGTTGACTGTTCTTGTGGTTAAATGACGCTCCTCGTACAGTCGCTTTCTTTTCATCTTTATTACCGAGTTGTCCTCGTTTCTTTCCGTGCCAGTTTTAGTTGCAGAAGGTGATTGTTATTGAAGCGTCTCTTTACTCTACCATGATTTTCTGTCAGATGCAGTTGCTGCTTGCCACTGTGAAAATGCCTATTCCGATTATTGTTGTTGCGATCACTGAGACGATATTTATCTGCTGCTCCGGGTGTGGTTGAGCTTTGAAAGCTTGGTTTGCGAGAGGAACAACCACACCACGCACGGTGAGTGGTGCGGCGGCCCGGACCGCAACGGTCTGTGGTTCGACCCGGCCAGCAGCTTCTACACAGAGGCCCAGTACTTCCCATCACCGATGAAGCCGGTACCGTGAGTTGCCTACAGTTTGATGACATTTGTGCTGCAGGTTGCCTGGGCAAGGGGTTGCCAGTTTGGCGGTTGTTCTCACCTGCCTAGCTTTTCTTCATGACCTGCCAGCTTTCCATTCTGTTTCTTGGCGACTTCGCTCTATCATCGGGTGCTGGAAGGCACAATGGCTCGAAGACTGGGCCATGCTGGCGAGCAGATATCGAGACTGTGGCTATGTTGTGGGCACCTTGCTTGTGAAGAGCGTGATTGTCCTACGCGTAGTTCGTCTACACCAGAGCACGAGACATCAGACTGGGTTTCCACCTGTAAGTCAGTGTAAGTGTAAGTCGCGCCCGAACATGATAATACATGTATTGGGCCCCACTTTATCGAGCCCCTTGATCCCCAGGCATCCCAGGCCACAATCCGACGTTTGTCAAGTTTGACAATCAGCCGTAGAGTCGCCACTGTCTTCTTCACTGTTTGCCGTGAGAGCTCTCCGGATGAGGCTTCGACTTGCGGAACGAGGTCCGTTTCTGCCCTTGGCCGTTCCGATACCCCATCTGGTTGGGTGGCGGATCCAGGAGACTTCTCCCCGATGGTGATCTGCGGTTGAGGATGCAGGTTTCAACCTGTGGGGTCTGAAGGGTTCAGAGTTGTGCCGGCGGTGAGGTGAGTTGAACACTTGTTCCTGATTCCTGACCTTGTTGTTAATTTAACTTCTTCGGCAAGAGGCTTGTTCACAGAAGACCTGTTGGCTCAGACAGTGCAGCTTCCCGTGAATTGCTTTGGATAGAAGTTTTGGTTCGATATTCCTCAGATCCTGCGATCTCGGCAACACGAAATGGTTCGAAGCCCTGCGTACTGTCTCCACATATCCGACCCACCCGTGCTCAGAAGCGTCGTCCGAGAGAAAAATCCTTTCTTACAGTAGGCCTCACCGATCCCTACCGCGTCTCAGAGGATTCTCCGGAAACTCCTCGGCTGCTTGGGCTTCTGCGACTGGGCCGATGCAGCGCGGCGCTGCGCGCAACGGTCACCGGATGAGCACAGGGGGCCTAACGAAACAAAGTAGAGGCCCAGGAGGATGTGGGCGGTTGGACAGTGATCTCTTCCGGGAGGTCGGGTCCTGCAGCAAGGTTGATCAACGCCGGTCTTTGACGTATAGGGGCTCGTGACTGTGTGACTGTGAGGGACCGAGGATCTCATGACCAAATAATTAGATTTGCAAACGCTGGGCTTGCTGCCAGCTTTTTCAGGCTACTGGAGACCAGCCCAGACAAGCTGTTGGTTGTGGAGCGCCGGATTTGGCCAATGAGGGGGCTGCGGGGCTACGACACTTGGGCCAGGAATGTGGAGCTAGGTAGAAAGGACGAGAAGCGTGCTTGGAGCTTCAGCAGGTGTTGGGGCAACTGCAAACAAGGACTTGCAAGCAGAAGCGGTGGAGCCGGTGGAAACCATGTAACTGTATCACAGCAGCTTGGATTAGGAGATGATAGGAAGCTTCTTCACTAGCGAAGTTGCTGGTCCGTATCTCGGTTTTTCGAGGACACGTGTCTCTTGCCGGAGCTCCGGAATCGATTGGTTCTTGGAGTACACCACTACAGCTGGAAGCTCGACGAAAGCAGTTTCTATGAGATACACCTAAGCTGGCTTTTCTGGCAGCTGTTACATTGCTAAACATCCTACCATGCTTTACCAAGGAACGGTCCTGGCCGGTACCTACCTTTCGCACATCTGAGGAGGACGGGTTGGCAGCTCTTTTCAAGGACCTCCGAGCTAGTTGATGTAGGTAGCGACAGCTCACGTGTCTGAGTTGTAGTGTCTAGATGGGTTTGACCTCTAGGCAGGCTTTCTCCGATTTGGTAGACAGCGGTTTGGGAAGGAAGCACTGTGGCATCTTCAGGCATTTCGAGACCTCGACGCACATCTCAAAAGGAGAGCAGCGCATACCTCATTGGCTCGAGCGCCGCAGGAGTTTGCTGAGATTCCTCCGGATCTTCTCACATCAGAACTACGGCGAGATGTCAACAGGAGAGCTGTCCGATGTCCTCTTCGAGCAGTGGGGCTGCCTTGATTTGATTTCATACGGTTCCAGAGAGCTTCCGGCTGAAATCAGAACCTGCAATCCTACAAGGTGAGAGCTCCCTGAATTTTCGGAGGGGCTTCTCTGTACTGTGCAAGTAATACAGCCCCTAGGGAATGACGATGATGCAGTATTGACACTTGGTAACATCCCACCAGAACATAAAGAAATGTGCTTATGACCGAGTCATGATCGAGACTATTCGACTATAGAAGCCCGAAAAAAACTAGACCGCTGCCTTATTGGTCTTGCTCTTCTTGCGAAGAGTCTCGTCACTGTTACGTATGGTTAGAGTCTTGGAGTCATGCTCTCCTCTTCCACGAACCGAGCAATTGCAAAGGTTGGCTCCTCGACGGGGACATCTGCCCCGTGTGGATCAGCGAGTTCGGCACCGGTCCTGCTCCCGGATTCGATCTGGACCCGCTTTGGGATCACTGGAGCAGAAGGTTTGAGGTGTGTCTTTTGGAGGGTTCTCCTTCAGCACCCTCTCCTAGCACTAGCACTAGCTCCTTGACCGTGGTCGTAGAGTCAATGGTCTGGTAAGGCTACATGGGAGTGGGAATAAAGAGTCAGGCGTGAGAGGGTCGGCGCTGCGAGTTGAGGCATGCTCGCACGATGCTTTCGTGAGCCAGTTCTTAATGGGCGGAAGCTTTTGGCCCATGCGCTTAGGGCCAATTCTGGAGCCCTGTAACTCTCCGAAGGACTGGTTCCAGCGCTTCGTGGAGATTCTGGGCCGGATGGAGGCGGACTACGCTTACTGGCCCTTGAATGTAGGCGTCCTGGCTTCAGCGAGCGTTGTCGAAATCAGGGTATTCACAAAGGTAGTCGCAGAGAACATGCTGGGGGCCACAGCTCGTCTTGGCTGGCTGGCCTCTGGAACTGATCTACATAAGAAGTACAGCCAGACACGACCAAGAACTTCCAGAGCTCAAGCGCAGATAGTGAGGGCAGCCGCACCATGCTGCCAAGGCCCAAAGCCGGGCTGCGGTGGAGACGAGCCCTATGGAATGATATCTCCGGACGCTCATCCATGACTGGACTGAAATTGAATGCAAGGGAGGCAGGCAACTGCTGGTTGCTCGCGCACGTGTCCTTAAGAGTACCTTTGAAGCGTCGTGTGGAAGATGTCTTCGAACCGCACTTTCATGCTGCTGCCGGCGATGCAGGGCTGCAGGCCTTCACATTATTTCTGAAACATGTAGGGGCCGAGTTCAGTTTCTTAATCGGGAGTCGGGAGCTCTCCTCGTCGCTGATCCCAATTCCCTTCCCACTCTGAGGACTGGACTCCGAAGCTCGAAGGTGACATCCGGCTCAATCTGCTTCTGGGTTGCAGCTATGAAACCTCTCTCGGGAGGTCCTGTCTTGTGAGAGCCTGGTGACATTCACCGTATGCCTAGAACAAGACGAGACGTAGATGTGCTCAAGGCGTGCACTTGTGGTGGCAGCGCAATGTCAGTGTGGTTCCGCTCGGGGTAGTCGCTTGAGTTCTCGGCTTTTGAGACCGGAGTTGATGAACCAAATGTAGTCACAGTGATAGCGTATTGTAAATAAGCAGGGTCTGTCCTGTGATGGCAAGATGCAGATTTCAACCCCTAGTCAAGCTCCCAAAACCTTCAAATTCTCATCCTAAAACCTTATAGGCCCCCAGCACCGCACGCAGTGTTGCAGGTTACGACTCCATGGGCTTCTCCCGGCCGCCGGAAGTGAAGATAAAAAGAGATGGGCATGCCCGCCATAGAGCGCAAGATCCTGCCCGATTTAGGGTTTAGGTTGTTTATATATATATATATATATTGGGTTTGCAAGATTCTCTGGTTTGGAGTCTGGGGCGTAGGGTTCTTCGACACCCAGTGGCAGGATCGTAAGTGAGACGTTCTCCCTTGCAGCGGGCAGGTGCCGACTCGCAACTCGAGGACACGGTCCCCGGGGGGAAGTGAGGGCATTGGGGGCCAAGGCAAGTCGGCTTTGAAGGAGACAGAAGGAGGCCGGCGGAGGCTTAAGTGCACTCTTTTCCCGAGCAGGCTGTACCAGGACTAGGAGGCTCTTGGGACACATTGTTCCGCATGTTCTTGTTGCATCGCAGAGGTCCGTGCGCCACAACAGCATGCCAACCTTCCAAGCACAAAGCCTGCCTGGTGGCACACCAACCGAAGATTGCGAGAACGCAGCAAGGATTTCTGGCAGACACACCTCACCGCGGAGGCAATGGCTAGGCACTCAGGGTTTACTTTTTTGTGGATGTGGCCGCAGGCTGAGAACGAAGTGCACGACTTGCAGGTTCAGTCAGTTCAGCAATCGGCTTGCTCGACTGGTCACTGTGGCAGACGACTTAGGCTGATTAAGGCAGGCTGGTGGCTCACACATCTTGAAACCGAGGCCAACACCATGCGCCAAGCCACCACCGACACCTTCCAGTTGCTTCTTACAGCTTTGTGGCCCTCCGGATGAACTGCAGGGGTGCTTCGGAGATGAAAGGTGCTCCTTCGCCTCTATGTTGAGGGGGTGCCTCAACTCGTCATCTTGAAACAAGATCTGGATCTCGAGGGCCTGGCCGAATTTGGGTTTCTTGTTATATGGTTATAGGTGATGCAGTTGTACTGGTACAGTCGTAGTAGTAGTTCGCAGGAGTAGTAGAGCGGAACAGTCGTAGCAGCAGCAGTAGCAGCAGCAGTGGCAGCAGCAGTACCAGTAGCAGAGGCACTAGCGGTGGCCGAGCGGTGGCAGAGCGGTGGCGGCAGCGGTAGCGGTAGCAGTAGCAGATTTCGTAGACGTAGTCGTAGCGTAGTAGTCGTACCAGTAGCGGTTGCACTGACAGTGGTAGTAGTCGTCGTCGTAGTCGTAGCCGCAGTACTGTCGTTGTCATAGTCGGGGTCGTCGTCGTCGTCGCCGCCGTCATCGTGTTCGTGGTCGTCGTCGTCGTCGCAGTCGCAGTAGCGCTAGCACTAGCAGTAGCAGCAGCAGCGCAGCAGTAGTAGTAGCAGTTTAGCCAGTGAGCACCAGCAGCAGCAGAAGGAGTAGTAGTAGTAGTAGTAGTAGTAGTAGTAGTAGTAGAAGATAGTAGAAGAAGAAGTAGCAGTAGCAGTAGTAGTAGTAGTAGTAGTAGTAGTAGTAGTAGTAGTTGCAGTAGTCATCGTAGTCGCAGTCGTGTCGCGGTCGTCGTCGTCGTCGTAGTAGTGGTGGTGGTGGTGGTGGTGGTAGTGTCAGCGACTGGTAGTGGTAGTGGTAGTAGTCGTCGTCGTTGTAAGTAGCTTATGTAGCTTGCTTGTTTGTTTGTTTTGTTGTTGTGGTGGTGATGGTCGTCGTTGGCGTGGTCGTTGTCGTCGTTATGCGTTGTAGGAGGCGGAGCAGGGTAGGGTGCAGATTGTGATTTTTGTCGCTTGTTCTGCTTAAGTCTCCTTCTTTGGCTTTCACTTCTGCTTCAAGGCTCTATACCCGCGAGGCCCGATTTTAGGTGTGTGGTTTTGGGGGCGGGTCGCGGTTATTGCTCAGAGCCCGGTTGCCGGAGTGTTGTTCTGCAAACTGAATCAACTGTTGGAGTAGTCACTGCCAGGCGACATCTAAGAAGATCTCCGGTGCAGGACATGAGTTGGGACAAGGAGTCTGGACATAGCTTCACCGTATTGCATTCAGAATCGTGGCCGGGAATCACTGCGACATGTTTTGCGGTCCGTGGATACCCACAGGCAGCTTACGCGATTGAATGGAAGATTCTCCCACACCTCGAATCAACACTGGCCCGATTCGTCGACTTCCACCACACACTGCCCTGATCGCGTTCTGCCATTTCGGCTATCTGAGGTTGCTCAGCATTGGAGTTTTACGGTTGCGGGTCGGTTGAGGTTTCGGTGCGTGAACGTTTGAGGCGACGAGGCTGAAGCCCGAAGAAGCTCTGTGAACATATTATGTAGCATTTTGCATAAACTGGAATGAACAAATACTTGCATGAACAACTGGCCCTCTGAGCTTAGAGTCAACAATCTCAACCAACACCGAATGAAGGCCTGGCTTCGGCATCTCCTCGATGCTCTGGCTGCCGCTGTGTATGGCATCCATGGCACACACGCCAGTGAGGCCGAGAAGGAGAGGAAAGGAACACTCAGTGCTTGCAGTAAATTTCAATAGCACCCAGTGACAATCATGACAGTGACAGTGAGACTGGTAATGTTCGAAGTATTACCAGCAGTCGGCTGAGACCAAGCCAAGCCTGCTTAATTTTCTCAAGTCACCCTTCGTCCGAAGTGTCTTGGCATGAAGACTCGCAGCAAGAGCCCTCAACGACGAATACATGCCACGAGACCTTTGTCGTCCAGGGCGATCGCGGTGCCACGGGCGAGGCGCCTGTGGCACTGCCCACCGAGTTTGCTCCAGTGGCGCCCTTTGTCGAGGCTTTGTCGCCGCCCGGAGGCCCAGCGAGAGGAAGCTGAGGCATCATGTTGCACAGGCCTGAAAGTAGGGCTAGCATAGGGGTCGTGGTCGGCACGCGGATTTATCTAACTTGGAATCACGCCTCTTGTCTCGATTCCAGTGCGGGTAGGCTTCACCTTCACTTGTTTGACAATTTTGGTTCGCCCTGCTTCGCTTTCAGATTCGAGGAATGTGCCGGGGGCTTTAGGTACTCAGGCCTGTACTTCAGTCCTGGTTCTTCAGCCCGAAAGCGCGCCGCGTTTCTGAGTTCATCACGGAAGCCCACCAATCCGCATGACCGAAACAATCCACAGTCAGGCCTGCACCGCGCATGCCAGATCAGAGGCCCCACTCCTACTCAAGCTCCCCTCGCAAACCTTCAAGATCCTTAGAAGAAACCCGAACTAACGATGGCTCTGAAGTCGAGTGGAGCCGAGGTGCATGCAGCTCGTGCAAGCTGCCCTCCTCTGGTTTGAGGAGGCCAACATCCGACATACGGCTGTGACGCCGGGTTCCAAGTAGCCGCTGAAGCTGCGTGGGAATGAGAGCTCACGGTTTAGATTGGCAGCCACATGTAGCTTGGGCAGATCCACCATCTAAGATGGGCAGGTTCGAGTGCTCGGTCTGCGGACTCCCTGAGATTTTGCGATCTGGTTCGTGCTGATGGCCCTGGGAGCTGTTTGAACCGAGTTATCGCAGAAAGGCACCAGTCTTTGGCAGCACCGTCGGTGTCAAGCTGCCTGCTAGTTTTTGATTGACTCTAACGTGGAACATGCCTGGGTCTGCATGGTTTTACCCTCAAGAATTTGACGGCCAGAGCACCAGTACCACTTAAACAGAGACAACAGGCACCAGACTCAACCTCGCTCAGGTACCGCCCCCTGCAGCTTCCCATGCTCGGCTTGCAGAAGCTGGTCGACCGGTGCCCTTCAGGTAAACCGCAAGTGCACGACTTCGACTTCGGTCTGTGGCAAACTCTGAGCACTCTCTGAGCCAAACTGCACAAGCAGAGATTTTCGGTCATACGCTGCCTACAGAAGAGTCCCTCTGGCCGACGGGGAGTCGTTTGGCCAAGAAGCTGCCGAAGGAAAGGATATGGCGATCCCGGCACGGGTTCATTGACTTGCAGGTGGTCGCCGAACATCCGTCGCCCTAGCTCTTCAAACCGGTTGTGTCACAGCATGCATGTACAGCTGCTGGTAAGCCTTACCCGAAGAGAGTTGCGGTGCCGCAAGGCGAACTCCCTGCGACACTGTTGGCCGGGTGTTGAGGCAAAGCTTTCCGACACATTTGCTGCTCTGAGATGGTACGCACGAGGCCAACGCATCCTTGGCACCAGGTTGTCGGACAGTGGGGCTTCTGCACTATTGTGCCCACTGCGTACATCAAGGAGCAGGACGCGCAGCTGGCGCAGCTGCGAAGTCGCCGGGTCGTTGAGCTGCAAAGGGGAGGCTTTCACGAATCATGAAGACCTTTGCAGGCGTCATCCATCCAGTTTCGTGCCACTGTGGTCTTGCAGCACTTGCGAGGTGTGATGAGCATAAATCAAGCTGGTCAAAAGCTGTAATGTTGTACCTTTTTGCATCCACCGGGGACTCTTCAGATTTAGATTATCTCCTATACCTCGAGGATTTCTGGGCGACCGACAGGTGGGATTCTGTGTTTCTTGTTCTTCGTTATCCGGGTAAATGGTGATAAATTATGCAGCAAGCCGCGGGCAAGTTGGGTACGATCAGATTGTTCTGTTTTAAGCCAGACAGTTAAACACAGCTTGCACTTTTTAAGTGAACAAGGTTTAGGTTTTTGCTGTCTTTGCTGACATGGAGAAGAATTAGGTTCGTTTGTATCAAGATCAAGGCCGTGAATGATTTTTTTGGGTGCTACTCGTATTGGTGCAGGTACGTCGCGGCACGGAAAGCGGAATCAGTCCAGGCCCCACAGCTGGATGCTGGAAACATGAGTTGCAGCAAAGATATGCACTCACTAGCAGGTTCCCTTACATAACTTCAGGCAAGATCGCCTGAGCACACATGGCTTCCTTGCTCACAAATGCAATCACAAATCGGTCCCCATGGCAAGCAAGCAGGAAAGCGGCCGACTGGACAGTGGTTACTGGCTATCCTTGGGCCCGACACTTACCGTGGTTTCGTCTGGGAAGCAGGATGGATGGTTCGCAGTCATACAGCCCTGAATTCCCAAGCAGCCTCAGGCGGTGGATCCTTCTTCAGTTCGCTGTCTTCACGTAGCATGGCTGGGGCCACAGAACCGCGTACAGCATCATGGAGCATGCTGCAGCTGCAAGGAGCTGGTATCCTGTGCAAGTTTCGAGCTCCTGTTGGGGGTAGACTCTGTTGACTTGGTTGCTACCGCCACTTGTGTGACTAAAGGGGATTACAACTTGACAATGAGAGTGTTTGAGGGGTCTGTGGGTTTTGTCGTTGGCAAATGCTTCCACGGGAGCGCGTTGCATGAAATTAGTGTGGCTTTCCCTCTAGAGGAATTATGGCCACGCGGCTAGTTTTACTAACATTGACATACATTGACGAAGTTGCAGTCAAGCCGCCGCAACATCCACCAAGCCTCATAACAACGTTCGGTTTCAGACTTGTTTGTGCCCGGCCCTGCCGCAACGAACCGGTACCCCTGTACCCCAGCCCGAATGTTGTGGGTTTCATCCTTGTGCGGGCTTTTGCGCCGCACGCCAAACGTTCAAAGTTGTTGGACCCCTATCCTAAGGCCACTCAAGGGTTGCTGGAGTGCGAGCTCTGAGGCTATTTCCAGGCTGGCGAAGACTCGCTGCAATGTGTTGGTGATCATAAGGTGCTGTGCTCAAGATACGATACTGCTGCATGTGGGGGCTAGGTTCTGTTTGTGCATCTGTCTGTGTGCAGGCAGACGGGAATCCTTAGACCGCCGAGTAAGTCTAGGACAGGACATGGCAATGCAGCCAAGGCCGGATGAGACCTTTCCGAGCTATCCGAAACACATGTCCCTGCCGGGACCAGAGTTGGCCAAGCTTCCGGCGGTGCAGCTTGAATCCTGAATCTGACTACATACAGCTGCAAGGCTCTCCCCGCAAACTGCGCAGGCAGACAATCTCCCTGCCGTCCCTCTCTCCATCTCTGGGGCTCAGAGTTTGCTTACTATCTCTGCTCTTATCAGGACTCGCATCGCTCTCTCGCCCACGACATCGACCAATTCACCTGTAATTCACTCTTGCCCTGGGTTTTCGACCGCTCATCGCCTCTCCGTCCTGCTGGAGAGGGAACATCAAGATCTCCGTTCCCGCAAAAAAGCCGTGTTGTTTTTCAGAGAGGAGCTCTCTGGTCCTCGTCTTCCATCTACATTTCACAGAACCGCCGGTGAATGCTGCAGCTATCGACCTGACATGTTTGCAAGTTAACCTGCGAGCAGCGAGGGACTGCGCCCTCCTGGATGTCTCAAAGGCAACCCAAACCCAGTCTGCTTCGTAGAGGCCCCAACCTTCGCCCAGGCGTGGAAGCAACGTGGATGACTCCATCTTTTCCCTGGAAACCCTCTTCCGGATCGGGCGTATCACTCGCACCGTCAGCCCAAGCCCCAGGGACCTGAGCCGAATGGGCCCCTCGTAGCTGGAAGCCTCCAGGTGCAAGTAGCCTCGGTTTTTTGCAGCATTTTGCACCCCTCGTTTGTGCAAGGCTCTGAGCTGGATGTTGACGGCTCCGCCCACTTTACAGGACCGCGGTCGCGATGGCCAGCTCCCAGCTTAGACGCTCTGATCCAGGGCTGACGGATGTTGACTGCCGCTGGGTTGAGGTTGCACCGGCAAGCAGGATCGAGCAGAATCCGAGCAAGAATTGCCATCAAGGGTGCTTATGTTCATGTTGAGTGGACTCCAGTAAAGTTTTGGGCTTCAGAGGCTTCGAGCTGCGGGAGGGCATGATTTCCCGAAGCTTCTAAACCGGGCAAGTTCCAAGTGATCCAATCTCGAATTTGGAGGGCAGACTGTCCCAACGAGGATCGGTCTACTGACTTATGGAAACCGCCTGCTGGGTGTAAAGCTACGGCATTGACCAAGTCGTCTGAGGCTGATATCACTTGGGTGTGCACTGCTCTTCAGGTGATCATCATCGAGGTCTACTCTGTGAGTTGCTTCACAGAGGCGCCACACGTCACTCCTAAAAGAGTCACTCGAATTGATGTCAGTGATTCTGGTGCTGGAAAGCCAGTAGCATGTATGATTTAAAACCAAAGTGACGTTGTGATACCGAAAACGGGGCGTCGACGTGACACTGAATGATTTGAGGGTTCGTGGCAATCAAGAGATTTCGTCTATAAGCAAGCGCCACATCTGTCGGTCAGATGTCCTGACATGTTGTGGTGCACCCACCACTTATTCAGGCCACACTCTGGCTCACGGTCGCACAATGCAGATCAGACGTGACGTGAAAACGGCCATGTCTGTGACGGTAGGCTTTCACAGCGAACCATGTTGCCTTCCATTCATCTAAATCTTGGGAACTTGGCGCAATTGCAACGTCAGAGAGTTGTAGTGACACGATAACAGTGATAACAAAATCAGGACTGTACGTAGCAGTGCCAAGTACAAACTGTGATGAACATCAGTCTCGCAGGAATGTTACTCAGTGGCGGCGTTAACAAGCCCCAAAATTGGAGCGCCCACCATGTGGAAGAGAAGTTTGGTGCTGGAATATGACTCGACGGACCACGTTTTGCAACCGTGCGAGGTCACTTAACTAACCAATGAGCCGCACGGCCTCCCTGCGGACCGGTTACTGTCAACAATCACAAGAACCAACTTTCCAGATCTCGAGCAACTTAAGCAGGAAAACCCCAAACAACCTCCTAAGCCGGAACATTTCAATCACCTTAAGCCTAGTTTTCGGGACTCTTGGAATGGAGCTGCTGATCTAAAGAGTTCTGGAGTCTTAGGTTTCTGGGTTTTTTTCCGCCCAGTTTGTATAAGCGTGTTTTTCGTTTGGTTGTTATTGCTCTTGTCATTTTTACGCGCCAATGACGTTATCTTGAGATCAGCATTTAGGGCTTGGGGAGTTTTGAGGAGTGCCCTCTGAAAGAGCTCTTCAAGATGTCTTCGAAGATGCTGATCTGACAGGGTGCTAGAGTGCGACATGATTCCGGCCAGGAACCTGCCCAGGGCCCAGGGTCCAACCTTAATGAAGACACCACTATTTCCAACACAACAGACAGTTCTCATTCTTGGGACATGGAACAAACCAAGAGGCTGTCGAGCTGTTGCAGAGCCGCCAGCAATTGCGGCCGGGAGAGCTTGTCATGAAGCTTGAGGACTCTGTGTGGCCAAGATGTTTTGCACGATTTGGGGTGGCAGGGCCATTTTTAAGGATTTGAGTTCGCCCATCTCGTGTTTTCGCTCGGATGCTACTAGCAGCTGCCTGAGATCTAATATTGGGCAATTCCGGGTGTGCCTGTGGGACCCATGCACGTGCTGTCAAGCCAGCATGAAACTGGTTGCTTCAACAAGCTGCACGCTTCAGAATTTGTGCGGCATGAAAGCAGCCCAAGGCGTGGGCCATGGCTTCAAACCTGGTGAAAGCTGCCGAAGTGTTGCTGCTACTTGTAGAAGGTTCCTCTATCCAACCGCAGCATTGAGCAATGAAATTCTGAATCATCGCGGTCGCGGGTGCTCTTGGAATCTATTCCTACATTTTCCAGACTCATTAATCTGAAGCAGCCGCAGCTGCAAACCCAGAAAGGATTTAGGAACGGCAGTGGAGCAGAGAGCCAAAATCCGCCAGGAGTGGGTGGCTTCAGCTCCGCCCGACCGGGAACGGCTGCAGTTTCTAGACGTGTGTACGCGCATCATACATATATATATATATATATAATTAAATCGTGTGTATATATCTATATATATATATATATACACCTCTTAGCGCTCTCGATCTCCGCAGATGTATAACATCTACACATCCGTATGTAATGTGTCATGCCACACCCTTGATTGTATGGTTTTAACACGCATTGTACTGTATTGTATTGCATTGTATTGTATTGCATAAAGTTGCATTATTGTATTATACTATAGTGTGGTGCACTTTACGGCACTGTCTCGTCCTGTACCGTTCTGTACGTGCTGCGTTGTCTTACATGTTTATTGTGTTGTGTTGTGTGATATTTTGCATGGCAACATATTATTGTGCGCACTGTATTTTGCGTAGCAATGTAAGTGTTCGCTCAAGTACATCAGTGTACATACAGTTGTGTATTCGGTGTGTATATATATATATACACAATGTGTGTCTGTATATGTGCATACGCAGTTAGGTATATGTGCATGTGTACACATGTTTGCATGTCTTGCGTGTGTTCTGTATGCTTTACATGACACACTGCATGTTCAACATTCGACTTGCACGGTGGATCCTCCACCGATCCCCGATCTCCTGCATCAGATTCCGCAAGCTTCATGTAGAATGATGTAGAAGCTTGCGCGTGATGATACATGTGTACGATCTGCATATTGAGCAGATGAATCAGAGCTTGTGCATTGCAGCTTCGGGTTCGGTTAGTTCGGTTCAGCAGGAGCACAGGGTCTCGAGACTGCGTGCGACCTCAGAAGCAGAAACATCGGCTCTGTTTGCCTGGATGCCTAGGTTCGGGTTTTGGTTTTGGAGGCCGTGTCAGCGCAGCGACTTCTGAAACGGTAGCCAGAAATGGACTTTTGCAGAAACTCCCCAGTAGCACGCGCGACTAAACCATTCTGGTACGTGCATCTTGCGAGGGAAGATGCGATGTGATGCGATCATGTGGTAAGCTACCAAGCCTTTCGTTTACTGTTCGACAGTGTTCTCCATATCTAACGGCTGCGGGAGGAGCCGGAGCGTCGCCTAGCCGCAGGGCAGGTCCTGCAGAAGGCAGCCCCGCACATCTCTGTTTTGGTTTTGTCTTTGGATGCAAGCGTGGGTCTGCAACCGTTCTGTTGGTTGTGGCAGTGCTTGATTATGCGGTGTTTCGTTCGGTCGTCTTTGTCGTGCAGCTGAGAAGGTTAGACTTAGATTCAGATTGGACACCGGTGGTTAAATATTATCCGTTCTGTGGCAGTGCATGCGCCGCCTGCCGGTTTGAAGGTGTTGCCGTGTTGTATTGCACAGAGTTGAAACCATTCTTTTGCGAACGGTTTAGGTGACTTGTATTCGACTATGGCTATGGTACTTGTCCATGGTGGTGTGAACAGTTATCCATTATGTTGCCATTGATGAGCGCAGGTGTTACTGATACTGGGTACTGTCCACAATTAACACCATCAGTATCAGTGGTAATAATGTTTGCAGCATTTGCATTGTTATCGTTGCGATTGCTCTTCCGTCTTCAGGTTTTTGACCTTGCTACTCCGAAGTTTTTTGTGCAGATGCGATCGCTTCATTTTCCCGTGTTCCTGCTGCCACGGTTATTCACGAGTGCTGGAACCAGTGACTCGGCCACTTGTTCACGGGCTGGTGCTCTATTACTCTGGCCCGTGTTTCCGTCATTGTCATTCGAACTGTTGCGACGGGCCGTCGTCATAAACTCACCAGTAGCCTGAATATTATTGACACCGGCCATCACCACTGGCAGTATCATCACCAACAGATCACCGTCATAATCATAATCACCACCGTCATAACCATCATCACCATCCGAGTACTCGTGACTATCATCACCATGTCATTACAGTCATCACCGTCACCATTACCTTCATTGTCCTTATTGTTCCTCCTCGCCGTCATCCTCATCATCGCTTTCAGTCTCAGTATCATCATAGCAACCAAAAGAGTGGCTACGACGATGCTGCTTCTGCCGACAATGACTGGTGGTATGTTGTCGGCTTGTCGGTGGGGCCGGAACAGTAGGGAGGACCATGACTGATCAGGAGGACGACGACAAGGAACCGTATGAAGATGAAGGCAGCAGTAGTGTGATGATGACCATGAAGCCCCTGTGATGATGGCAAGTAGTTCATAATGTTTGCGATGTTTAGGCTGGCGGCGATAGCGGTGACAGTCAGCGCGAGCATGAAGATAATGATGAAGATGGTGGCGATAGCCAATTTTGACGTGTCGATGACTTTGAGGATATCGACGATGACAACGACGACGGCGATATCGGCGGGGAGTGATGATGAGTGATGATGATGATGAGCGTCATCGTCATGGTAGTCAGCATCATGCTGATGATCTGATGATGATACCGGTCATGATCAAGACGCAGTCGACAGTCGAAGTCACGGCAATGATTGTGGTGATGGCGACGTTGGCCACGACGAGAACGATGAGGGTTATGGAGCATGGCGACCAGGTTGAAGACGGTTGGATCATCATGTCGAAGGTGATCTCGTTCGTGCTGATGATTCGTTTGACCACCGCGAGGACAAAGATTATGATCATGTACCGGATGATGGAACTGCAGGTTCAAAATCGCAAGGCAGTGTTCATCATGGTTGTGATGGCGATGTGATGGTGCGAGTGTGTGTGTGTGTGTGTGTATCTGAACTTCGATCCTAGTCCTAGCGTTATTCCAGGCATTTCAAGACCTTGAAGTCTTGCTGCGATGTGCCATCAGGTTGCCCTGGACATCAAGACGAAAGGCGAGGGCATCCTCAAGGTGGGCTTGCGGGGATTGCGGGTTTGGGAGTGCAGCGCAGCTGGGCAATCACATCAGGATATAGGACATGCCTTGCCTAGGGACAGCACACCACCGCACCGCGTGAGTCTAGAATCGAGAAACTAAACTAGGAAGCACCTGAGCAGATCCTTCCTGAGCGCTGCAAATTCATGAAGACCCCATGTTGCCAACTGCAACTCATAAGTGACGAGGCAAAGTCCACCGAGTTGGAGAACTTCATGAAGAAGTCAGGGCAGATGCTGTCGAAAGCGGCGGCTCAGCAGCATGTGTCTACTGCCCACCTTGCAATGTACTCACAAACAGCGAGTTCGACGGCGTTGCAGTGCGCACGGACACGGCGAGGTCCAGAAAGGGACTCGTTTCGGATGTCTTGGTTTTCTCGTCGCAATCCCTGCGGCTTCACTTCTGATGTGAGGCTGAGAGTGCCATCGCCACGGGTCAACTTGAGACTGCGACCCAGGCTGTGTCTTGCATCGGCTTTTCGCGCATGGTGCCAGCAGAAGTCCCGGATGGCCGAAACATCACGAGTCCTCGAGCAGAGCAGTCAGCAGTCCTGGTAGGCTCTGCTGGCAAAGGCTCGTGCCTAAGAGCGTCCTGTGCTTGCCGAGCTGGTGATGTCGCCTTCACACCGCAACAAGTCCCCCTTGGTCCGAAGTACGAGGCCCGCGTCCCTGGGAGCAACAAGCAGCAGGACTGCGTGCAGGCAGTCACGGCATAAACGGCTTGACTTTGATTCCACCAGGTCGTTTACGACTTGCGCTTCTAGGCAATGCTGTCACGACGACTCTATAATAACAATTGCCGTGATTCCTGCTGCCCTGCTAATGCTGTTGCCAAGTGCGTGGTCACACATAATATTTGCGCCATGCGATTGTGCAGTGATTGATGTGACTGTATCCATAACATTACGATCTCTTTGTCCATCGACAAAGTGACCATGTTATCTCGCAAGAAACTGAATCGGCCCTAGTGCAAAAGCGAAGGCCATCGAACTCCTCAAGAAGCAGTACGGCGAGAGTGGGCATCTCAGCCGTTTGCAAGGAGGGTCGACAGGGGGGCTGTCTGGCCCTGAAGCCCGCGCAAGGAGGTTACTGAGATTCTCTCAGGTCACCCACAGACTCAGAACGCCAAGACCATCGCACTGGGTCTGGGCGTACGGGCCTTGGGATTCGGCAACTTTGAGGATAGTCTCAAGTGCGGCATGCTTTTCCTCTCGTCGTGTGCACAACAAGGCTGAGTTTGGGAAGTTCAGATGTATCGTAATCTTCATAATTAACATTTTCGGAAGTACGGCTCCAGCTACTCTTTCGTGTGCGTGTGTGTGTGCGCGTGTGTGTGTGTGTGCGCACGCGCGCGCGCGTGTGTGTGTGTGTATGTCGTTGCGCGTCTCGTGGCAAGCCATCTGCCACGGAACGGGTCAACTTCAAGCAACACGGTGAACAGCAGAGCAGCATGACGCAACAGGTGCAGTCACGGTATTAAGATAGCCCTGTCGTTGGAGACCATGAAGGCAGTGTGCAGCAGGTTGAGCGGTGTAGCAAGGAGGCATGACGATGAGGGCCATTACGGGTGTCTGTTTGGCGAAAACAAAAAGAAATGAAGTCTAAGTTTTCCAGAAGTACTTCGAAGCTCACGAATCTGGGCTCGTCGCTTGGAGACTTCGACACTCCTTGGTTTAGGGCCTGTTTGCCGTTGTCTCGGGCGGGCCGTGCAGCAACACCCGCATGATGGATGCAAGTGCGGGTCAGATGCAGCTGGCCACTGTAAGGGAAAACTACAGCACCGAGGTTCCAGCGCTTGTAACGTCGGATTCGCTTTTTTCGGTTAGATGGTGTTCTGTAACAGTGTGGCGTGCTGGATGACTAGTCGCGTCGAAGTTTCTCGTCACGGCATCATGCAGGTACACGTGTGATATGCGGGAACGATGGACGATTGTCTCCTGACTGCGGCAACCTGAGGAAGATCCTTAGGCTGTCCAAAGTTCGTGCACACAAGCGCAGCGCCTTTCAAGAAACATATGCTTTCAGTGCGAGAGCAGCAGAGCTGGCATGGCGAGCAGTTCACCATTCTTTTCCAGAAAGGCCTTGCCCCCGAGGCAGCGGTGGCCAAAGGTGCCAAACCGCACCTCCCGGCTAATGAATATGCTTGCCGCAGCGAGCCAGCCTTCGAGCCGATCATTGATAGTCCTCTGATAGGCGGTTTCCGCTTCCCTTCTCCATCCCCGATAACACCATACACGTAAATGGAGGAACGTGCCTGGAAATAGCGCCCGGCCCTCAACACCGCACGACAACGCTCAGCGCCGGGACAGGCCGAGAGGGTAGTCTTTTCGAGGCCAACGTATTGGATTTTACCATGGATCGCGCTTACCGGAGGATGCAGATGTATCACTCAGCTTGGTGTCATTTCGCTCACGGCTAACATGGGGTCTTCGAGAGGTTGGCCCTTGGGTATTCGTGAGGTTGCCTTTATCTCTGGTTTTAATCTCCATTTTAGTAGTTTTAATGCACGAGTCGCCGCGCATCGCAAAATGGCACCCCGCTTGTGGTGCCGTGACGATTTGTGATCGGATTTGGCAATCCTGGTGGTGGATGCGGTGTGTTTGCGTCCTCCGGAAGGTGCGATTCATGGCGATCCCTTACGAAATTCTGAAGCACAGGCCGCACATCAAGCTAACAACTTGGCATGAAGCTTGTCACATCATGCCATCCAGTAGAACCCTTCGCCCGGCTTTGGAGAACAAGCGCAGCACAGGGAAATCATGTATCATGCACCATCGTAGAAAACGACGCCCTGATCCTGTGAGTCAGCCTCTTACAGGTTTAGTGAGTCTGTAAGTAGTGCAACCCTGGGGTACCTCCTCCACTTGTACCCTAGTTACCTAGTAGATAAGTTCCCACGCTCACAGGCGCTGCTGCAATCTGTATGGCTTGTGTGACATGCCAGGCTGTTGCTTCTCAACTCGTGGCTGCACAGGAAAAGCAGCCGCCCGTGCTGTCGATATCTCCAACTTGGTTCCGGTGTGCGTGCGAGTGAGTCCATGAGGACAGTGGCATCTCGACCGTACCAGCCTCAAGCCCTGCGCACTGCAGATCCCACGTCCTATAGCTGCTCGAAGCCATGGGAAAGACGGCGAAGAAAGGCGAGAAGAGCTCCAAGTCCAAGGACACCGAAGCCTCCGATGAAAGTTGATTAAAGGCCCCGAGGAACCTAATTCCGCTTGACTCGACAGTTTGCTGGGTACAAATAAGTTGCTTTGTCACACCGTCCTGAAGCAGAAGCATGCTAGCTGCGACCGGTTGCCTTCTTGAGCATTATCCCGATTATCCCTACCGCAGTCAGCTGTGTAAGTTTGCCTCCCAAACTCCTCGCGACCCATCTGCTGGCTTGACAGGAGCCCACCACCCGGGACTGCACCATCCACTTGTTCTTTGGCTGAGCTTTGCCAGTTCCAGCTTGAGGATTCCCACAGTCTTCCAAAGGAAGTTTCCCTAAACCCTAAACCCTATGCAGACCCAGAGCGATTCACGATGCCACGAGCCTCTCAGGGCTTGGCCGCAGTTTCGAGCTGCTAGAAAGGTTTGGTTTGCGGCCATCCATGCTTCATGGTTGAGTAACTGAGTCATCATGTCTTCAGTTCTTACACGAACCTAAGATCTCTTCAGCTTCGAGCTGAGACACCAGGCACAAGCACATGCAGAAGATCTCCTTCAAGAAGAGGGCTCCGCGTGCAGTCCGAGTGGCGGTGGCCTCAGTGCAACGTGATTTTCGGGCATCCTCCTAGCCTAGCAGAGCCTAGCTGAGCCTTTGTGACTCCACTGAGCACTTCTGCCTACTTGGGATTCGCTGGGATTCTGAGGTTCGCCAGTTCGCGAGCAAGGTCATGCTCACAAAGGATGTTCGAATCGAGCCTTGAGTGCAGTTTCAGAAGAATAGATCGGGTTGATGGTCTGCGGTTTAGGGCTTGCGGGGCTTGCAGCAGCAACTGTCGAAGCTTAAAGTGTAGACGGACGGCATCGGGCTTCGCAGCTGCTTGTGCAAGAATACCCTGCTCCCAGCCGTGGTTGCGGCGAATTTTCAACGGATGTCTCACTGCTCTCCTTCCACGCGCGATTCTGAAGAGTATGTGTGCAGGCATCTTTCCTGCTCCAGTCCTTTGCGTGTTCTAGATCTCGAGGCAAGCAGAATGCATGGCGTCTTACTGTGTGGCGGCGTGCTGAGCGTTTGACGGCATTTCCACAAAGACTCAGGACACCAAGCTGAACAAGTTCCTGTGGAGCAATGGCATCCGCAACGTCCCCCGCCGCGTGCGCGTGCGCCTGTCCCGCAAGCGCAGTGAGGACGAGGAAGCCAAGGACTGAACAGCCAGGGCGAGCAAAGCCACAGTGAAGCCTCAAACATTTGCCGACGTTCACTTGGCACTTCTGGGTAGGGTAGTATGATGCCCAATATGTCCGTTCCCTACCGATCCGGATCGATGCCCACTGGTGAAGGTAATCAGGGTCAGTCGGATCCATCTATTGCTTGATGCTAAAGGCAGAACTGGCAGCTTCTTGGTGCAGTGGTTTCCCTGGCGACAGCATGAGGAGAAGATGTTCACCTTGGTCCAGCACGTGCCTGTCGAGAGCTTCAAGGGGCTCCAAACGGAAAACGTCCGGGATGAGTGAAGCAGCAGGCCTGGAAATCCAGGACCTGGTTGTGGCTCTTGAAATGAGTTGTAGGACATCGGCATGCTTCGAGTACATGAGGTAGGTCTCCTACCAGACGTTGTATCTGCGTTGTTGCATCTACATGGTTCAGGGCAGCAAGACACCAGAAACATTCGATGCAACTTAGATCTGTCGGCAAATTCTGGTCGATACTGTTGCAGGCAGACTTGACCGGAGCGAGTCTGAGCGAGTGCGAGAGGGCAGTGGGTAGACGGCAGAAGAAAAATCACAGCCTTGGCAGAGCATTGAGATGTGAGCTTGGAGATTGCTGCTTGCATATTCATGCTGATTGTCAACACTGATCTTGTTGGAGCAACCTGCGCACCTCTGCCTCGTCAGGGCAGAGCAGAGCCTCACTGTGCAGCATAGCTTGAAGTGGCCCGGACATTCGGTTCAAGACCCATGTGGGCCAGAATGCACTGATATGCAGTAATTATGGGCTGTCCACCGACATGTTCCGGTTGCTTGGAACACCAATCAACGAAGTATGCCATTACAGTCGAGGCCCACAAAATCATCAGAACGCAAGATCCTTGTGAGTGTGCATGGCATAGTAAACTTCAACCTGATATGCTGTAAACGAAGGAGAGCGGAACTCGAAGGCCTCTCAGCTAGAAGCTTGGCCCTCGACAAAGTCTCTGACTTTGGCGTTCTTGCCAGCGATTCCGTTGTTACCCATGCTCAACTCCAACTCTGGCATTTAGAATTCAGTGGTTGCTTCTTTCTCCTTCTTGTTTTGCCCTATGTTTCCGTATGACTGACATGTTTTAAACCTCTCAGCTCCAGGTTGTCTGGTGAATGTGCTGCTACAATTGCCATTGCCATTGCCGCTGCTCGGGACTGAAGCTCGGGCCTGCGCAATGGATGGCCACGGTGAGAAATCCGTGGATCAGCGAAGTCCTGAGCTGCATGGGTTGTGGCTTTTAGTTCGAGAATGCTGATTTGAGGTTAACGATGTCCATGTTCATCTCACCGTCCTCGTCGTCGTCGTCATCATCGCCGTGGCCGACACAGTGACATTACGAGGATCATCATCATCATCATCATCATCGTCATCACCATCGTCATCATCATCATCATCATCATCATCATCAGCATCAGCATCAGCATCAGCATCAGCATGAGCATCAGCATCAGCATCAGCATCAGCATCAGCATCAGCATCAGCATCATCATCAGCATCAGCATCATCATCATCATCATCATCATCATCATCATCACCATCACCATCACTATCTTCATCACCATCGTCATCGTCGTCATCATCATCATCAGCATCAGCAGCTCAGCATCGTCATCAGCATCATCACCATCATCATCATCATCAGGACGCCTTTCTCATCATCATCAGCATCAGCAGCATCATCATCGTCATCATCACCATCATCTGCATGATGATGATGATCATCATCACCATCATCATCACCACCATCATCATCATTGTTGTTGTCTTATTCATTGACGGATGGTTCGACGGATGGAAGGACGGAAGGATGGATGGACGAGTGGATGGATGGATGGATGGCTGGATGGCTGGACGGATTCGATGGTAATTCCGCTTCTCCTTATCAACGCTGTTTCTGCAAGTGCTACTACAGCAGCTACGAGTGTGTCAGTGCCACGGGCTCGGGATTGTTTTCAGGCTTTCGGTCGGCCTGCTCGCGTCTCTGATGCAGCTCCAGGCCACGATGTGCTTCTGCGACCCTTCCATCAAGAAAACAGGAAGCTATGTTTTTGCCCAAAGCCCCAATCCCAGAATCAGCTCTGGCCAGAGAAGCTGCTGGCCTTGAAGGCTTCAGGGCTGTGTGCACTCGAGGCATCAAGTGCCCAGCCAAGGGTGAAGATAGAGTGCGTTATGTTATCAAGCAACAGCCCCAGGGCTTCAAAGCTGGAGTCCTTGCCCTGAAATGTCACAGGGCTGCCGGGGCTACACCCCCATCGACTCTGCCCGTGCCGCAGCCGACCTCCGCGAGCTTCGGGCCGCGACGCCCGCCGCGGAGGCACGGCAACGCGAGAACTATACGGATGCTTCGAATTTCGAATAGTAGCAACAGCACGAACGCTTTCATTACGAGCGATGGTGACGGAAATGTGCCGCAAGTAGTTTCGGCGACAGTTTCGGCGGCACTGTTGGTTCACGGTTGGGTAGTGGCAGACATACAGTGTGATAGCACTTGTACTTTGGCGTTTGGTGTGGCCGTGCCACCTGCTTATGATGCTCAGCATTGCACCCTCGGACATCAGCTCCACACTGCAGGCCCGCCAACAAGTCCGAGAGGATTTGCAAAGCTTTTGGTCCAGGCACCGAGACTTTGCTTCTTCGGGTCGTAATCCCATGCATGGGCTCATCGAAACAGAAGAGTATGGAACTAAGAGGGGGCTCTGATCCCCCTCGCCTCGAACCTAAGCTCTGTACAGCACGTTGTACACCACAAATCTCACTCTGCCGCCAGACCGAAGTCCTCGACCCAAGCCCGGCCACAAATCCTTGCGTTCCTCCGCAGACTTACGTAACCTGAGGTCCATGTTTGGGCCTTCCAGGTCTCATGCACTAGTGCCAGGCTCCGTCGCCTGCGCCGCGGACGTCGGTCAGAAGCTTGGGTCGAAGGGTCGAAGAAAGGCCCGAGCCTCCAAAGCCCTGAGCTACCAGGCCCAGGAAGCCGAGCGTCTGCAAGGCTTGGCCAGCCAGGTCTTCTGCATTTGTCAGAACCGCTTGCACAAGAACTCAGAAACACTTTGAGATGAAGGCTAGATTGCGGCTAGATTGGGTAGCCTCCTTAAGTGTAACTTGCCCCTACATGCCCCTATCGTACCTCAAGGTCGAGCCGTCATCGAGACAGTGGCAGTCGAAGCCGCTCGGACACTCGCCGTGAGAAGCGTCGTCCAGGGCCCAGCTGTACAGGGCCTGCCATGCAAGTTTGGGGTACGGAGAGGGGGCGAGATGTACATGGTTCGGTTGTCGAGAGGATTCGTGGCAGTTGATGGGGCTTGGAGGATTCAAGCGGATATCGGTTTTTGAGAATAAGGGTAGTAGGCAAAACATGTGGCCATAACAGCTCGGTGGCTGGCAATATGTCGGTAGTGTCGTAGCTGCTAAAGAGTTGGAAAGGCATCACAAAGCTTGGAGCGTCGAGAGCTGAGAGACTTTGCAGTCCGCGAGAGCACACACCGCAAGTCAAATTCTGGGCATTTTCTGCGGATGTCATGAAGATGTCACCAGCCTGAAACAGACCTCGGAAAAGGCTCCTTGCTCTCCGGCTAGGTCGACGTCGCCGGCGTGCAGAGCGTAAAGGCAGCCGGCTCGCACCGGCCTTGCTGTCGCGTGTCTCGACACTTGCGGGCTCCGAGTCCCAAGCACCCGCTGCACACGCTATTCGCCTCTTTGCAGCTGCGGCCTTGGAAGGCCACCCGTCCTCCAGGTCCAGCGCGAGCCCACCAGGCAGTGCGCAGCTATGAAGCTACGAACCCCAGTCTGAACTCTTGTCCCATGACTCCAAGCAGTAAGCCCAAAGCAGGAGAAGCAGCCGAGTTATTTTGGAATCGACATCAGTTGGCTTGCTCATTAAGCTGTGTCTGCCAATGTCTTTTGGCATGCGTCAGCCGTGACACTTTAACTTGTTGAATCCATAAACAGAGTGAAGGACGTGGAAAGATGGAAAGCACTCGTGACCTAGGCTCAGTTCAGAAACTAGAGCTCTGGATTCACTACGCGATTTTCTTCATCCATTCTGAGCCCGCCTATCCTCAACACTGTCACTTCATATAATCCTGCCCGGCAGGCCACCGGCATGGACGTGAGAGCAGTGAGAGCATATCGCGGCGAAGTGCTTCGCACAGCCCTGGAAAATATTAAGGTACAATCTGTGCTCTCCGAAGCCGAGTAGAGTCAGACACCGAAAGCGCTGTGTGCTTCTCCGAGGTGTTCGTCCGATACAGCCTGCATGATGCCTGCACAGCTTCGCAGGCTTGCTCAAGGAATGCCCGCAAATTCTGTGGTCCGTAGAGGTACGAAACCCGCTCCGCTTTCTTTCAAGACATGGTAGCAATCATTTCGCTAGGGACGTCTATGCGAAGCTGTTCACACCCCAGATAGTTTAAGCAGTTCCTGTAGTTCCTGTGCCGTGTGCCATTTAGTGACAGCCATGGACTGGAAGCGACGTCGCACGCTTGCGACGGGTCAGGTCAAGAGGCTTGCCAGCCGAGTCCCAAGTTTGTGGACATGTTTGGATGTTGAAACTCTCCAGCTTTAAGGCTTAAGGTTAAGATGCGGAGCTGTGCAGCTGGGCGTTGTGTGGAGCCTGTGTTACCTCCTCTGTTCTGTAAGCAGTTTGGCATCCGAGCATCACCTTTACTAGATCTCAGTTTAGGGCCACTTGCTGTTAGGGTTAAGAGCATTTGTGCAAGGCATGGCTTGAGGAAGGTTTCGCAAGCCTCTCGCACAGCAAAGCTTCGAAGACGGTCCTGCCTGCTGTACACTTCTTGCAGCAGCTATCTTCTCGGGCTGATGTTTACAGGAGTTAGGGTGCGGTTTGGCCGGAACGTGGTAGCAATGCTCGTTATTTGCAAGCTATGTCAGGTGCGCGTTCGCCAGAAGCAGATCCAAACCTTCAGACTTTATGATCCTAACTGGCTGGAATCCTGCACGATTCTTCTGAACAATCCGTTTGATTGAGACAAAGTGCAAAGGTAGGTGGATAATTGCGATGCCAGGAGCAATGACAATAACGATGGTTGCCAAGTAGACTAGCTATATGCATGCTGTATGCTGAACTTCTAAGCTGAACGAGCAGCCATGACAGACCTTGATGTTTTGCTAAGTCGTCGGTGGCACACACGGCAATGAGACGAACGGCGTGCACCTGGCAAAGCATTTTCTCAGGACCAAGTCTCAAGAAGGGGTTTGGGTTGTGGTTCGGGTGAAAGGCTTTGTTGTTTCTGTTCAGCGTTAGCTTCGCATTGCAGACAGTTTGGATTCGCTTTGAATTGAGCATATGTCTCAAGATACTTTGTACGTTTTGAGTTTGTAGCACCCGATAGCTGCAAAGTAACAGCACGGTTTGGGGCTTTCTGCTGAGCCGTCCTCGCTCCATCCGTGCTTTGTCAGAATGTGCAGGAACCCTTCCTTGGTTAAGCGTGGTTCCTTCGAGACCGAGGCTTGCTTGTCTGTGTCGAACTAAAAGTTTGCAGGCCAGTTCCACAGCATGTATCTTGCAGGTCATGCTCTCTAACACTGCCGCCATCAAGCAAAACACGAGATATGTGGAAGAGGACTTGAACAGGCAGGGGTCTTTGCAGCAAGACCCGCAACGAAACTCTGTAACGGCCGCAAGTCTTGCTTCTGGTATTTACCTGGGCCTCATTGATATCTCTCGCTGCTGCATTGAAAGTCACTGGTCACTTCCCGTCCTATTGGTTGGGGATTGTTGCGTCAGCATTGTTCAGTGCAGATGCAGTAGCGAAACTTTGTGATGGAGATGCTGGTGGTTGTACGGTAAAGAGATATCTGGAGCTATCCAAACCCCAAAAGCAGAAATGCGATGTCTGCAGGCGCCCGCATGGTATCATCTTAAAACTAAAGCATATTCAAGCCTCAAGGCAGCCTGCAGCCCAAAGAAAGGTGCTACCTCCTGGCAGACCTGCAAAACGACGCGACCTCCACTTCCAGCCTTGAGCGCAAGCGCGCCCGCGAGGCTGGGACGACAAAAGTGCCATCACCCTCGTCCGTAGTAGTAGTCGTGTCCTTGCAGTCGTTGTTGCAGCGGCAGGGTGATACGTAGCCAAAAGCATGTGGTGACTAGCAAGCACCCTGGCAGTGGCAGTAGGAGTAGGAAGATAAGGAGCAGCAGCAGCAGGGGGAGTAGTAATAGTAGTAGCAGTAGTAGTAGTAGTAGTAGTAGTAGTAAAAGTAGTAGTAGTAGTAGTAGGAGGAGGAGGAGTAGGAGTCAGTAGTCGTAGCAGTAGCAGTAGCA